AGGCTCCGGATCGGTGGCAGGAGCCCAGCCCCTCCAGCAGCTCCAAACAAGCTGCCTGCGCAAACCACCCTGTGTCACCTTTCTGCTTCCTGGAGCAGCGCTAAACGCAGCCTGCAGAAATCTCCCTTGTCCTGCCAACGTTAGTCTGACCCATGAACTTCCCCTTCTCTCTGCCTTCCCCTTTCCATCTCTCCCCACACTTTCCTCGTCTTTCTCCTTGTAAGAGCTTCATTCAACACATCCACCCTTTCCTCCCAGAGTGTTTCCTGCTCTTGAGGATGTCCTCTCTGACCATGCAAGTTGAGGGCAGGCACCTCAGCCCCATGACTGGGTCGGACTGGGTTGGAGGTGAGGCTCAGAGAGCCTGCTTGCCCGCCCACCCATCTCTTCAGAGAAACCTGTCTTTCCAGGGAGGGAGAGCAGTATGTGGGAAAGTGGAGAGCCCTGGAACGTGAATTAGCCAGGGAGAGATGAATGTGTGATAGCTTGTACCTGGCAGCTACCAATGGAGCGTGTTAACGCTTTCAGGAGGGGTTTGTGCAGCGCTGGAGCTCAGGCATTCAGCACAGGCATCCTGCTACCCCAGGCTGAGGTAGGGGTCAGCAAGGTGGCATGGCAGGGATAGGAAGCAACCACAATGCTTGTGCTGTCTGGTCCCTGTCACAGCATGGAGCTTAGGTAGAGGATCTGGCCTCTGGCAGCTTCCTACCGAAGAAGCCAACATTAGGGGATATTTTCCCCTGGCTTCCGTGGAAGTCAGTTGAATACTGCAGCTTTAAACAACATGGAGGAGGAGGAAGAGGCTGTCTGCCACTTCTGTCCTCTTCCTCGGGGACTGATGTACCACACAGAGCACAAGTGAGGAAAGGAGGGTCTCCATGTGCTGATCCTAGCCTTGGCACGTGTCTTCAGCCAAGTCAGGTTATCTTTCTGCCCTTTCCCTTTTCTGCTGGTTGTTTCATATGGCATCGTTCAGGTTCAGCCCAGACCTAGGCGATGCAAAGACCCAACCGTCCAAGCTGCTCTCATGGCTCATTCCAAGCAGACTCCAGGGCTTATCAGAGTGGCCAGAAATGAAGTGAAGGGACTATTTACTGGAGGGGCTGTTCCTGCGGCTCAGACACCATCCCTTCTGGGTGGTGGCATCTGCTGCCCAGCCTGGCTCCATGCCTTGGCCTCTCTTACCCATGCATCGCAAGGCGCAGAACCAAAACCCTATCCACGAGGGGTCAACTTGGCTCTGGGGCTGAGAGCAGAGCCCCCGCAAAGCCCCCTGCTCGCAGCCCAGCAGGCAGGTGCTGCGGGGTGTATCTGCGCAGCCGAGGGCGGGCAAACCGCCTGCCTTCCTTCCTCCCTCCTTCCCACCCCACCCCACGCCCTGGTAGCGCTGCAGGGACTCATCCATTCCCGAGTTACTAATATGCAAATGGGCGCTTTTTGCATGGGCCGGGCGCCAGGCTGCTGGGTGTCAGGGCACCCGAGGGAGCCGGAGGTGGGGCGAGGCGTGGCGCGGCGCCGCATGCTCACCTGGCCCTGCATGGCAACAGGCAATGGAGCTCTAGGTCCCTTCGGGAGCGGACCCACGCCCGGTTTGAGAGGCAGCGGGTGGCCGAGGAGGGAGGGCAAACTGGCAGCCCCTGGCAACCTGGGGCTGACGGCAGGAGGCTGGGCGCACCGCGGATTTCCCTCCGCCAGCAGGATGGTGAACCTGGAGTCTGTGCACGCAGGTAAAGAGCACTTGAGGAAGGATCGGGCTGGAGCTCACCATGTAGCCGAGACCGTGGGCTTGGGCAGGAAATGGGATTGCTCTGATTCCTGTGACCTTCCCTCCCTCCTTTCCCTCCTCTTTTCTCCCGCTGGAGCCAGCTATCATGGCTAGCACATTCCT